ATGCAATGATGGTATAAGATCTGCAAATCAATAAATATGTGATACAACATAAACAAATTGAAAGACAAAAACCATATGATCATATCAAGAGATGCAGCAAAAGCATTCAGCAAAATCCAACACCCATTTTTGATAAAAACTCTCATCGAAGTGGGAATAGAGGGATCATATCTCAACAAAATAAAGGCCACATGTAACAAACCCACAGCCAACGTCATCCTCAATGGGTGAAAAGTAAAATCATTCCCCCTAAGAACAGGAACAAGACAGGATGTCTGCTTTCACCACTCTTATTCATGCATATTGGAATGAAATTAATTAGAAGAGATATTTTAATACCGCTATTTGCCCTTTCACTATAATAGAAGTGTCAAACAAATTCATGATCTACAATGACAGAAACACATGTGTGCGATGAACACCAGTGAGAGCTTTATATGTATCGTGCATGTGTGAGTCAAATTGGCCTTTTATAGATATAGAATAAACTTGCTTAATTAGACCTGCTTTCTAATTTAGCTAAACTTTTCCAGCCCAATAAAGCACCCCAACTTCTCTTTCAGATAATTGTCAGCAATACAGCAGTAAATATCAACATGAAGCAGATTAATACTGTAGATCATTCAAGGAGAACAAAGGGTAAACTATTTAAGTGTAGCAGTGTTTGACTATATTCTGCTCAGTGCAGTGAGAAAACCTGAAGTCATTTTCAAGTTGCACCATTTCTTACTTCTTTTCACTTGGGTCAAGTTTCTAAACTTTCTAAATTTCCGTTTTCCAGCAAATGAAAATAAAATAGGATTCCACTGAATCTTCTATCTACTGCCTCCAGGACTTCTGTGAGGATCAAATGAGATGAGGCACAGGAAAACACTTCACAAACATTTGGTTAAAGTATAAAATGTTTGCACCTGGCTATAAAGCAAGTTGGGATCCTGGACTGAGGAAACTGCAGGGAGGCTAGTCTCTAGGGAGAGGAAGCCGGTCATTGCTATGTGACATCATTACCTGGCGCCCACAGCGACCATTTCCAGGCTGGGCTGGGCTGTGGACTGCATTTTGCGCCATAAGGTTGTGGCAATGTTGGCTGCACTTTTGGGGGGTGTCGCTCTGGGGTGGTGGCGGGGCCTGTGTCCCACTTGGGCGAAGCCAAGTGTTGGTTTGTGGGCACCAAATCCGTGGTGCTGTTTATTTTTAAATTGCCAGTGTGTCATGGTAACTCCTTTGTTGAGTGTCTGCCCCCTGGTGGTCAGTGCTCATATGTACCGGTCGGACAGACACAGCCTTTTATATATATAGATAGTACTTGAATTTCTTTGCCTCCACCCAATTAATGAAATCTTAAGCTATTATAGTTCCCTTTCTTTTCCCTCTTTCTATTCCAAATCTTAGAATAGTATGCCTTCCACTTCTCTTTTAACTTCCTTTCCTTCCTACCTCCTTTATTTCCTTCACACACATAGGCACTGACACACACTCATAGCCTCTTATAAAGTATCAGGGAACGATTGTACATGCTAGGGATCCAG